ATGGCCAATTCATGGCAATTTGATTGCACCCTCTTCTTCCAGACCATTGACCACAGAACACATTTGACAGATGCGTTAGAGCATGCACAGCACTAATAAACCTTATTCCACCTCAGAGCCTAATCTCTTCAAGCCTCAAAAGCTAGGCAACACATGGCCTGAAATGCACACTTTATTGAAGCAGCCAGGGATCTGCTGCCCCTTAAAGATCACATTTATCACGAATTTATGTCTGCTCTCTTAATCGGGGTTTCTCATGATGCATTGTGATTTATTTCTGCAATCGAAGTGACTGGGATTTAAAATATTTGTTGTTGTTTTTTGCTATATATGATGTTTGCTTTAATGAAATCTGTTGTGAAAAGTACATTTATCTACAAATCAGAGACTGCCACCGCTTTAAGGAGTGGAGTGGGTACCAGCCCTCAGAGTTCCTCTCTGATGTGTTTGTAAAGGTGTCCAGTCATGTTACATTGTATCAAGTGTGCTATGGTTATCATGTGGAAAAACGTGTACAGTGTGTGATATATCTCTTAATAGCACGCCAGCCTGTTTTGTAGTATACAGATGCTCCACAGAGAGGCTCCATCACAGCAGTATTCACATATACAGTACACAGTTGTTTTTTCTCAAGGAAATGCTCTGCATAAAGGTAAATTGGATTACTTCATCCACTGTGACTGACAATGCATGAACCAAAACTCATTTCAAATGTTAATCAGATGATGGTAGCTTTGGATGGTCTCAATGCCTCTCCCCTGAAGAGAGAGGTGGGGGCTGGGAGGGAGGGAGGGGCGGGGTTGGGGGGAGGGCAGGTGGTTTAGGTTTAGGTTTGGCTCGGGCCAATGCTCATTTCAGTCTTTCACTGAATAATCTCTGTCCCAGTCCCAGGTACGTCCATGCACTGGGGCTGAGGAAGTGAGGCGATCACAACCAAAAGCACAAGGACGGTTGGATAGGACTCACTCCCATAAAGAAAATGAACAGGTTTCCACTTTTTAAATAACGTCAGCATTAGAGCGCTTATTTGGCCATTGATGATTAACGCTTTCCCTTCAATTCTTACTGTTGCTAAGAAATCTCCCACTTCACAATTCATACAAATGGAGTGACCGAAATCTCAAAACCATTTCTCTTTTCAAAGTATCAAAGGTTGTTCTGAATCTCACAAGTTGTAACACTTGCTTGACCGCTGTGCCATTAATTCCTGTATCTTGTACAGTCTCATTCAGAAATGGTGCTGGATGGCCTGTTGTTGTCTCTCTGTAAATGAAGAGGCCCATTGGCCTCATATGTCACAGCTGAGTCACATTCTGCTGCCCACAGCCTGTGAAGGAGGCAGGCAAGCTGCTGGTGATGGAACCAGCAGCTAGAAGGTGGAGCCTAAGAGAGTCGGTTTAGGGAAGAAATTGAATTAAAATCTAAGACGCGGCTCATAAGAGTCTTAAAGAGGAATTTTTGTTTTGTTTTGTTTTTTAATCCTGAACATTCATCCATGGGTATGGGGCCATATCATTTTGCGCACTGGATATAATGGGAATGAAAGAGGCGGTTGATTTGGGATTGCTTCAATTATTATTATTATTATTATTAAATGCAAAAAGAAAACATTGAAAAGAGAAATGGCAGTGGAGGAACAACACGATATAAACTAAATTGCTCTGAAATCACAAGTTCCATTAAAATCTGTAATTCTGCAACATCCAAAGCTTGATTTCTAGTTTTACTAGTCTCTGATAGCTCGATTATAATAAGTCCAGCAAGAAATCTCATTATTTTTTAACCTTCTCACTGACTATTACACTCGGCTCTCAGAAATCCCCCCTTTTTTTTAAATACCAACTCAAATATTTCCATTGATCATAGTTTATGGTACATTTTACAAACATTCATCCATTTTCTAACCCCTTCATCCAGTACAGGACCAAAGGGGAGCTGAAACCTATCCTGGCGAGCAATGGGTGCAAAGCAGGACACACCCCGTGGACGGGTGTATCGCAGGGCACACAGAGGCTCAAACATGCATGCACTCACACCAGGGCCAAATTAGCCCACCAGTATGTCTTCGGATTGTGAGAGGAAACTGAAGGGGAAACTGAGAGGAAGCTCACACAAACACCAGGAGAACATACAAAGTCCACATGGATACAGTAGCACCCCAGGTCTGGAATTGAACTCAAGGCTCCAGTGTGTGAGGCAGCAATGCTAACTAATGAGATGCTGTGCCTCTCGTATTACAGACATCAACTAGGAGATATCAGTATGATAGTTTCTTGTGTTTCAAAAGACACTTCTTCAGGTGCACTACTGGACAATCCAATGGATTTTTGTGAGAAACAGCAACTGGGGCATACAACAACCCAGAGCAGACTCTACCCAGCACACACCTAATCTTTGTACTGTAGGTTCAGTAGTGCCCCAATTTAAACAAACTCATTCTGTCTGGGCTGAAGGGATGCATTTTTAATGCACAATTAAATAAACGCTACAGACAGTGACTGACAAAAGAAAATACTGATGGCAGCAGCTTTCATTGTTTGCTTTACAGTAAAACGTGGGTTTCATCATAGCCGCGTTACTGTAAGAAAGTAAAGTAGGAAACACAAAATCTCCTGATAACTAGACCTCTGCTTCTCAAATCTACTCAGGAAGCAGAATACATGATAAATCTCATCTTGATTTTTTTTTTCTGTGCAATGACGGTTTTCTGTTTTCTCACTCATATGTTGGGTGGGTTACCCTCTAGTTTTGTTAGTTGTGTTACCCCTATGTTGGGCTTAGAATACACCCCAACGTGTTATTGATTAGATGCAGGTATTCATACGATTTTAACCATTTTGGATTCACGAAAGGCATTTAATTATTTTAGGAATTCCTTATTGTCAAAAAGATCAAAATGATGTAACCATTGCTAAAGGTAATCCTTGGATTCATAAATATTTGGTTCACCTTGGTTTACAACTCTAGTCCTCCACTATTTGAAATTAATGTACATACTAGGGGTTGCACAGAGCTTTGATATTGTTCATTCACCTTTCTGAAATGTATGAAATACATGTGAGCACCATTATTTTATACAGTACATAACGTAGGTGTTAAACAGGAGTCAGATCCTCATATTCCTCTCGCTTAAGTACACAATATATATTACCTTCTGGACTTCTCCTTGTACAGTTCTCTCTCATGCCTCCCACATTCCAAGCTACTCTTGCAGCAGCTCCCTGTCTCATTCCTTGTGAAAGTGTGTAGGGGGCAGAGTTCAGTCAGCTCTGTCTTTACAGTCAGGCTGCTGTTTTCTCAGATAGGTATCACACCCAGTAAACTCTAATACATGTAATCTCTATACCACCTTTATTAGGATCTGGCTGAACTTTGGAAACAATTTATTTGCAGTTCTTCCTAACATTTTCCTTCTTTCACCTATTAAAGTATGCACTGGGGCTCAATTAATTTCCCTAATTCATCATACACACTCAATTTGTGAGGAAGAATATTCACTTTTTTTCTGATGTGTATGCATCATTTGTAGTTTAGCACCACGGGCTATTATTGAAAAGAGGTCAATACTTGTACAAGGCACTGCACGACTAAAAATGAGAAACTACAGATTATGAATATGCTGGCAAAAGCTATAAATAATGGACTATGAAATCAATGCTCCTCTTAATAACTGACACATGAGCAACGCCAATTTTTACATGAAAATCTAAACAGTTCTGAAGACGTGTTTAAGAGTCACAGGTCTTTTCTTCAAAACAGTCAGTCAGAATTTGCGAGATGTGACTATCCAATTCCTAAGCTTTATGAGAATGTACAGTAAGGTTTGAAGCTGCAGCTGTTAAGCAAGCTGTGTACAATGATGAGAAGCCAAGGATGGAGAAAAAGAATAATATGGATGTTGACTCAGATGCAGAGACTAAACTAACCCAACTCACAGTAGAATACTGGGAATACAAAGTAAATCTAAAAATTGAATTGATGAAACTAGTGGTCTCTTAAGGAATATAGCATAACCTAAGGCACTGACACATCTATTCAGCCCACAACTGGGATATGACCTCAGGAAAAAGGGCTTCTTTTTGCTCCATTTGTCAGGGGAAATAGGGAGGAATGGAGATGTGGTGCAGAAGATGCCCAGAGGTTGAATGTCCAAGGCTATGTGTTTACACGGAAGGAGAAACAGAGATGGACCTAATCACAGTGGCAAAGTGAAAGGATTGCCCACTGCAATATGGAATACCACACAACCTGATTAAGAGATCCAAGGGACCAGAGGCCAAAGGCTAGAAGACCAACACAGAAGATAGAATCAGAGCTTTCAACAGAAAGAAGATAGGTTTCACATAATTGGAAATTACTGTATAAGATGAGCACAGAACTTTCAGTGTAAATCTAAGCATCACCATGTACCTGTGCCTGGGGAGCATTAAGTATTAAAAAGAAAAGGGTTAGACAATCAAAATAACAGAAAATAAACCAACCATCTTCTAAACCACTTTATCCAGTACAGGGTCACAGGAGAGCTGGAGCCTAAACCTGTAAGCAGTATGCCCAAGACAGGATACACCCTGGATGGGACACCAGTCCGATGCAGGTAACACACAGAAACAAACACACACACACCAGGGCCAATTTTACAGAAGCCAATTACCCTACCAGTAGAGTATGTCATTGAACTGTGGGAGGAAACTGTAGCAACCTCAGGAAACCCATGCCAACAGAACGAGAAAATACAACAATACACACAGATAACATCCTAGGAATTGAACCCAGGGCGGTGAGGATGTAGTGCTAACCACTGCACCACCATGCCCCCCCTAACAAAAGTAGAAAGGTATCACAGAGGAAGAGAAGGAAAGAGAAGCTGAACAAGTGAGGGAAAGAGACAGTACATTAATACTAAAAGGTATTTATTGGTACTTCAGGATTTAGTCCATTTAAATTAATAGACCGCGTCTGCCATTTGGTTCCACCCAAACGTCTATTCCTGCAGAGGAGGGCTGATTCATTTTCATTCAGATATTCAAGCACCCAGGTACTCAGCGCTGTGGTTAAACTACACGTATTGAATAGAAACAGATTAAGGCTTTTTACAGCAACAGCACTCAGCAACTGTGCGACAAACTACGTTAACTTTTTATCCACTTTCGTAAAAACGAAAGTGTAATGAAAGGTGTCTGTGAAATATCTAGGATATAACGTTTTGCATACAAAAAAAAAAAGACTGGTGATTGATTCCGCATGCTAAACACGAAAACATACAGACATGCTTGCGGAGCGTGTAACCCATTAGCAGACATACTGTAGGTATTACGTTTGTTTTCAATGTTTGTTTCTTTTATTTTACCGAAGGCTCGGTCCCCTTTAAATATCCAGCGGAGTTAGTTAATTAATTAAATTCAGTAGCTTGTATTGAACACAAACATTATTCCAATCACATTTATCTGGCGGGCTGGGAACAGGCATGGCTGTCGTGTCTGTAGCCGAACAGGAGAATGAGGGGGCTTCTGAGCAAAGACGTATCACCAACGCAACCAGCTGCCATCTCAACCACTGCTGCTCATACTAGCTCTCCATTTTTTTAATTCCACAAAAATCCAGCTCCACTGTTGTTGTTGTTTTTTTTCTTAAATCAGCCTTCATGAATTCTTAAGCGTGTTTATTTTAAGTGAATGCACCATTTCTGTATTTCTAATCTCTTTTGCATCGGGAATGAAAATACAAGATGGTCCGCATCGCTAGCGCTCTGGGTTTGGTGATGCTAAGTGTCGCTTTGCTCATTTTATCCTTGATCAGCTACGTGTCGATAAAAAAAGATAACATCTTCACCACCCCAAAATATGCCAGCTCCGGAGGTCCGAGGATGTATATGTTCCATGCTGGATTTCGGTGAGTGTCCATATATAGCTAAAACATGCAGAAGTACATAATGTATAGGCTAAAATGTTTGATGTATACGTATTATACTGTATGCATATATGTGCTAAGCATGCTTATTTGTTATGCAGTATTTAGCTGGCTTTGCTGTGACATCTACCAGTCCCACAGGTGTCAAAGTCTTTAGGGTATCTCTTATTCGAAAGCCTTGAGAAAATGGCAAAAAAAAATGAGATCATTTTCCATAAGACAGCGATGCTATTGTTCGAAATACGCAACTCGTACTGTACATCATAGGATCCAAAAGGCCTTCGATATACAAAATATACGCGATATGGTGGCGCAGGCGCCTTGTAAAAGAAAAAAAAAGCCTTGTCACGGGGAATCCTGCAAAATGAATACTGCATTCTTCTTTCGTCACAGAATCAAAGAAATATATAATGACACAATGAGTGAGTTATTATGCTGTGTTTAGGATGCATATCTTATGACCGCAGAAGGGATTTTTGATGCCATGCGTGTAATTCGAATTTGACGGTTTGGTGCCCCAGGTTTAAAATCTATTTTTCCTTGAAAAATGGGATGTACTTGTCATTATTAAAAACTAAAAAAGACGTGTACTCACATGATACACACTAAGCCTTTATGTTTAATTCATGTTGTTAGAAAGAGAAAACTGTCTTGAGATCCACTCAGCGCTCTTTATTTCATTTGGTTTTTTTTTTTTGGTTTTTTTTAGAGAGCTTGGGTAATTCAAACAGAATTGTTGGCGCAGTTTCTCGGGGGCCCGCAGCTCAGCATCTGCATTGACGCCATTGTTGTTCAGTGAGCTTTCCATGGTGCTGATTCACTGTACTGTATTCGCAGCACCACGGTTTTCAATTAATAAGCGACATTTCACACACTATTGACTAGATTACTTAAAAATTAGTTAAAACAGTAAGTAAAATACTAGTAAAACCTAAGAAGAACACTTTCGAGGTATGCCTGGAAAACATATGCATGTCCTTAACGTGCAACAAAAAGCAACTAGCATCTCTGCTTTAGAAAAGTCTTTTTCAAACAATTATGCTAGTGATGCAGAATCTACAACATGCACTCATTTTTCAAGACTGAGGTCATGTTACAGAAGAAAGTTGCAGAAGAAGCACATAAAAAAAAGATAAATATACGGAAGACCACTGCTTATACTATTATACTGATTCATTAATGCTACTGAAATTATTTATAATTAATTTGTGTTTTGTTTGAGCATGAAATCCATATCCTCATCTACTGTTGATCTTGCTGGTATGTAATACATTGATGCCTGAAAAGGACGACAATTTGTGTCTTTTTTATCTGTAAAGAGCAGTAGACTTTTATGTTTATAGTTTGTGTTGGAACAGGTATTTTAATACTGATGAATAGGCAATATACTGTATAAACACACTCTCAGTTATTTTGTACATACAGTTGGAGTTACAATGCTGTATATGCAACTGTCTCTGTTGTTGACATTTTAAGTTAATTGTTCTAATGAAGTACCATTTCCTGTGAAATGTACTTGTCAGTTTTGTTGCGTTATCAGGAACTTGAAACTGTTGTAAGGAATAAAAGTGGAAAATAACAAATGGCAAATTAACTAGGCCTGTGTTTTAAAACAGCTAATTAATTAGCTTTTAAAGTGATGGCAGTAAGCTGGGGGACATTGATTAGTGCTGCACTTAACAGCTGTCTCTCAGTGATACCAGTGGCAGGCCTTAGCTCTAATTGAAAAGAAATGCACTGTTTTACAGGTCACAGTTTGCAATGAAGTTCCTGGATCCATCTTTCATTCCCCTTACAAATGCCCTGAATGAAGAACTCCAAGAAAAAACATCAAAATGGAAGCTGAATAAGACTGCCTTCATACAGCAAAGGTGAGGCAATCTCATATGACAACCAGTGAAAGAATAGTGAAAACATTGTTCAGTATTCATTATTTGACATGGTAAGATATAGATCATCAAAGGCGTCACTTAATGCATTTTGCCAAAAATACTGAGAATGGAAATATAGTTTGCATTTGCACATAATCCCCATAATCATTACGTTTGCAGGCAAATATTAGTGGAGGAATGCATCTGTTTTACCATAACTGTGCCAATCATTGCCAAGATCACAACAAATACTGTATGACCCCAGTGGTTTAAACCTGGAGTCTAAAGCCCATTACCATCCAGTCTTCAGTCACCACAGAGATTATATGCCTTGTAAAAATTCGTATAGATCATCAGAGATGAGGGGGTAAGTAGTATTAATGCTTATCTAAACTTTTCTACTGGGTGGGGTTTTGCTGTACATATCTCATTGAGAGATAAAGGACTAAATTTCAAATGATGTCTATTCATCTCCCTTTAGAAAATTTCATACTGTATCAGGAAATTAGAGTTGATCTCACAGAACAATGGACAGCTTGTGTGTGAACAAAGCCATCCACCTGAAGTCTTCATATATGCTATAGATATACAGAACACTTACCTTCATTACAAATCTCCTGGGCTTTGTCCTTGAAATCAGATTTTATGATGAAATCAACAGGAATAGAAATAGAAGGTAAAACAATTAGAATGTCCAATTAGGAAATAAGCATGCTAATTTTCTTTTCAGGTTTAATAAAAGCCTGAACAAGACATTCATAATCAACTTGACTGACGATTGAAACAATAAATGGGTGAAGGTTCAAGGAAAGTTCTTCCATGTTTCTCTTTGTTTACTCAGTCCCTTTGAGCGGTATGAGGATAGGAACTATCTAATTTATTGGTACAAACGTTCAGATGTGTGGGATCACTATACATTAGGACAAAGAGAGAGAGTGAAAGTCTTCCACTCATTGGAAAAAACTAACATTAATTAACATTCAGAATATTTGCATATTTGCTTATTGTGGTATAGGAGATAAAACATATTTCTACCGAAAATGTTTGGATTTTGGTAGTAGTTCGATAGATCTCTCTTTTGAAATGTATTTAATGAAAGATGAGGGCAGGAGACAACTCTACTGTTACAGAAGTGTATTAGTATTCTGAAACAGTTATATAGAATCGATTCCTGGTCATAGAGATGCATGCACTTGTGTATGTTCCAGGCAAAGAGAGAGAAAGCCATTTGATCTTGAGCACTCTTGAAATCCTGTTATCCTACGAGGTATAGAAACTAGCTGGCCGTTGGAATTCAGAAAATAAAAATATACTTTAAAGTATTTTAACTCTATCTCATCAGAACTACTGTATTGCCAAAAATGCAAAACTGTCGGCATCCTTATAAACACGTCTAAAAAAAACAGAACTTGGTCATTCTTGGTCTTCTTCACGACTACTCCAAATTAGGAGCAACCTGAATAGCCCGGCAATCGTTCATCTTACTCTTTTTTTTCTTTTATTTTCTTCCAGAAAAGAAATCCTCCGTTACATTGATGTGGCAAACAACTTCTCCCTAACAAAGAACAGTGTCCGAGTTGGTCAGCTAATGCACTATGACTACTCCAGCCATAAATATGTGTTTTCCATTAGCAATAATTTCAGATCTCTTCTTCCGGACACGTCTCCAATCCTGAACAAGCAGTACAACGTGTGCGCAGTGGTGGGCAACAGTGGAATCCTAACAGGAAGCCAGTGTGGCCCAGAGATTGACAAGTCCGACTTTATCTTCCGATGCAATTTTGCACCTACTGAGATATTCCACAAAGATGTGGGAAAGAAAACCAACCTCACCACCTTCAACCCCAGCATCCTTGAAAAGTACTACAACAACCTCCTGACTATCCAGGACCGCAATAACTTTTTTCTCAGCCTGAAAAAGCTGGATGGTGCCATACTTTGGATCCCAGCCTTTTTCTTCCATACATCAGCAACCGTTACCAGAACCCTGGTAGACTTTTTTGTGGAACACAAGGGACAATTAAAAGTGCAGTTGGCCTGGCCAGGAAATATCATGCAGTATGTCAACAGGTAAGGCAGGACCTATGTCTCACTAGTCAAAGTTACGGCACAAACACATACTGTACTACACAGGGTGGCATGGTGGCACAGTGGTGAGTATTGTTGCCTCAAAGCGCTGGGGCTCTGGGTCCAGTTCCTGGAGTGCTACGTTTGTAAGTTCCTCCTGTGTTCATTGTGTCCACTGGGTGCTCTGGAGTCCTCCCACATTCCAAAGACATACTAGTAATGTCAGTGGCTTCTGGAAAAATTGGCCCTGATGTGAGTGAGTGCATGTCTGTGTCTGTGAGTGCCCTGCAGTGGGCTGGCAGGGGGTATCATGCCTTGTGCCCATTGCTTGCCAGGACTGGATTGTGCCTTGAGAGTGTCTCCAAATTATGTCCAAATAATACCAGGGGACTCACCCGGCATACTTATTCATTTATACCAATGTCTTCTGAAATAGATGTTCAATGTTACATTTTTTCATGAATCCATTTAGTTCTCCATTTTTAAACATGTTTTTCTCCCCCCAGATTTTGTCCTTTATAATTAAATTACAAGATTGAAGTGTCTTACTCCAATTGTTCTCTTAAGGGTTCCATTCAGGTTGTTTGATAATAGCATTCGTTTTTAACAGAGCAAATGAGTTATCCCAATGTATTCAAGAAAGAACCTTCAAGTTAATGCTATTTTTTACTCAACTTTATACCATTAATTTTCTCAATTCTTCTGCCATTTAACAATGTCTTCTCTATATCTACCACAGCTCCCCTTTAAGAAGGATTTATGCTCTAATTTAAGCAAAACCACTTCTAAGTATACACTATTCAAACCTGGTTGCAAAAATGTGCAATGGTTTGCAATGGTTGCAAAAATGTCATTAGGCTTACTTTGAAACGTAATCCACTTCAAATTAATTTCGCAATTAGTTATACAGGTTGCTCTGCAGCACCCTTGCTGTGTAGGTAGTGACATTGGTTGATGGTTGGTGACACCTCTATACAGAGCCCACAATTAAGTGAAAAAAAATCACAATGTTGGAAAACAGAACACTAGCTGGAGAAGTAAGAAATTTTCACATTTGTTACTTCGCTGCTCAGCATTTATTTAATTTTCTAAAGATCGGTTTAATTACTGATGTAAGTGAATTTAAATGGTCTTCATTCTGTAATAGCCAACTAAAATAATTAACATCACTCTGCTGGATATACATGTATGAGTCATGTCTTATTACTAATGAATATTTAAAGAGCAAAGCAAGAGTTTCTTAAGGCAACCTAAGACAAGTGTTTTTTCTGTCTCTTCTGCTAATGCACAAAAAGCACTATTGCTATATTAATATACTATGTTAATGTAAAAGAGCTAGCTAAATAGCATTTCGTTATACCATATACCTGTGTATGAGTATAATGACAAAAACATGAACTTAAACTAAAATAATTTTAAAGATCTATGGCAGTTCCTAAGGAAGTCAGTCTAACAACTGTACAATGCACTGATTAAAGAGAGACAGTGACCTACTTTTTCTTATGTTATGGTAAGCAGGTGCTCCTCTATTATACCACAGTATGATACACCTATACAAGACCTTGGTCTTCTATGTCAATATGCAGCCTTTGGGAATAGACAGAGAAGCGCACAACAGTAAACTCCCCCCAGACAAGGGTAACTTTTGCCTTCTCAAAATTCAACATTTTAGTTTTAAAATTATTTTGTGGGCATTGTATTTTTTTGCCCTTGATGCAGGAAGAAACAAAAATGGGTCGGAATACTTGAACAGTATATAGGATCAAGATACAACACCTTTGTTGGTGTTGTTCATTTTTCTGTTTATTGGAATTTCCTTTTCCCCACACTCTAGAACAACTATGAAGCTTAGCTATGTATGTGGTGCAATAAGCAGTGAGTGCAGATCTGCAATACACATGGGAAAGAAGAGAAAATGTTACCCCCTACCTTATTTTAATCAACGTAATGGCTTAATTTATTGCCCTGTCTGTGGTTATGCATGCTTTTGATCTGTTTACACAGATATTTGCTGCCAAGATTAAAACACATTTTCCTCTTTAAAATGATTTACTTGACAGATGTTTAGTTAATAAATGAAATCCTCACCATTAGGATGCAGTGTACTGACCAGGAAATGGTGGAGTACCCTGCAGTAAAATGGGTGTTCATCCCAAGTGATGTGACATCCTTCCTTTCCTGTAACTTCTGAAGCTAGCGTTAAGAATCTTGATTTGCCCCCTCCTCTCTGATCCTTTTCTCAGCATTTCATCAAAGAAAATCTGAAACAAATTAACTGTGATGACCGCACACATTTTAGTTCTCATAATGTGTCTGCTTTGATCCGGTCGTGAATTCAATTTTATTGGCGAAGAAAAGAAAACAGTTTGTTTCTGTACAGCCTGCATCTTCCTGACAAGTTGTCTAGTAACTGTATTTGTTCAGTTCTGTTTTTTTTTTTCATTTAATGCCATTCCTAAGATCCTCTTTCATCATATCCGGCTAATATCAATACACCATGTCTTAGCATTCATAATTCATTTAATGAATTACATTTAAGAATATAATAGCTTAAAGTATATTGTATTCCTAAAGTATGAACAAATGTTTTGGCAAAAGCAAATTCCGAGAAAGTGTTGAGACACTTTTAGTGGATGGCATGGTACCATTCCCAAGCATGACAGACTGTGCAGTAATCTCATTCAATCCCCTTAAAGTAAGACTGCTTGGAAAGATTTACTCGTTTCACAAGCCAAAGCAGCCTTAAGCCACCCTAAGCATTCTTTATTAGATCTGTTTCTTTCATCTACGTAGAAACGGTCTTGAAGCTCAGTTTGGTTATGGCCTTTCAAAAAACAATCAAGTCCTACCAGTTTTAGGAATTCTCGCCCTTTAAGTGTGACATGTTAGACGTAGCTACCCGTGGGTCAGAGGCATTACCCTATAAAACTTCAGATACACAGGAGAGTTGACTTATTTGCATATCGCTAATGAAAATATGGAGGAAGCTGTTGGATGTCTTTATACCTGATACCTTGTGGTTGCATTTTGATCATTTTGCTGGCCAATTTAACATTAAAACATGTGCTCAGCAGTGTCTGTGTTCAACACAAGAACAAACTGCTTGCTTGCTTTAATTGATTGATTGATTAATTGATTGATTGGCTAAAACATGAGTACTTTACTGACCCACTCTTTTCTTTTTCACCACATAAAACAGTTTACTGTCTTGGTGTAACCATACAATGTATAGTGGTATTTCAAAAGTCCAAAGGCTTTTTCTCATCTTCATCTCTTTTCACAGTACTGAATTGAGCTGCATTTTTTCAAAATGTGGACAGATTAATATTGATTATTGTTTACCTATAGGAATAAGGCACAGAACTATTCAAAATTAAGACATTTCCAGCATCACGGGATTCTTAATGGACGCACATTCAGCACTATGAAACAGCACGGCTACGCTAAAACTACAAATAGACAATAACAAGCCTCCATTGAAATAGTGCCACACTCATCACATTTGGTTAACACAATCACCTTTTCAGACATTCAATACCTCTTTGCCCTGGAGTCGAACCTTCCCTCTCATGAGGCTTTTTGGATATCTTCATACCCTTGTTTTGCACTCCACTTACTTGTCACCCTTCATATTCTGAAGATGCAGTAGAACTGTATCCATCTGCTAGTACTGCAACCAGTCAGTACCACTGTGATTGGAGCACACGTAGTCCGAGACCAGCCTTGGTTGTCTCTTTGCTGAGTGTCGTTACGTAATAAGAGTCCATCTACCACGTCTTGCGTCACGCAAGCAAAATGCCTATTACTCTTACAGTCCAGTCTGCTTGTATGTTTATTCCAATAGATACTGGAAGACCAAACACCTGGCTCCGAAACGCCTCAGCACTGGCATTCTCATGTACACCCTGGCATCTGCAATGTGCGAAGAGATCCACCTGTACGGATTCTGGCCCTTCGGATGGGACCCAAACACCGGGAAGGAGCTCCCCTATCACTACTACGACAAAAAGGGGACCAAGTTTACCACCAAATGGCAGGAGTCCCACCAGCTTCCCACTGAGTTCAAACTGTTGTACAAAATGCACACGGAAGGTTTGACCAAACTAAGTCTTTCACACTGTGCCTAGAAACCCCAGGTTAAACAAAAGTGCCAAATGACCATACAGTGATGCTCTACTTGGGCTGACTGAGGATACACAACCACCCTGAGACCCCGTCATGTACAAAAGGGCATCAGCACAGCCATGTGCCGTGTTGAATGTCTGGGCTTGAAGGCCTGGGATTTTATTTGCTCATCGTAAAAAGGGGCAGAATGTTCCAATTTACAGTTGAGGCACAAATCGGTTAATTTATTTGAATGTTAGCATACTATTTGTTGTATAAATGAAGTGCGATATAACTTAAGGACATGAAGGGGTCATGTAAGTGGTTTCAGTACACTTTCAGCTGGCTTTATATCATTATCTTGGATGGCAGGGGGTTGTGTGGAGGTGTTGGGGCAGTTTCCTCTGATATTTAGTGCTTCCCTTTCCATTCCTTTAGAATGGTGAAATTGGCACTAGGGACTTTTAATATTGATTCACATTTGTAACAGTTAGGCGGCTGGAGGGGAAAGATTTCGACTGCACCATCAGGACCAATTCATTCTGCTAGAGTTGCATTGAGTAAGCATTAACGTCAAATTAGTATTTTTTTGTCCTTATTTTATACTTATATCTAACGGTAAACAATTGTATTGATGCCCTTTGAAATGCCCTGACAAACACCAAATCAAAACTGCCCGACTGTCTTTGTGTGGCCTGGGTAGAGCACCATGCCATTGTATCTCAGTCTCATTTATTCTGTATTGCACTGTGTGTTTGTACCCTATGGGTAATTTATTTTCAAGGGTAACTCCCATTAAGAAGTTGCAGCTGTATATGGAACAGCCATATTGCTATTTTTATGTTGTACAGCAGAAGCTCTTTATCATACTAGGGTATAGAATTTGGAGAATTCCCCAGGAATTCTGCTGCATTAGCTATGCAAATGCAGATTACTAGGTGTGATGAATCCACATGGAGAAAGGTGTCAAAGATGAGTGGAGGAGTCTTCTGCTCTGTGCATTGCATATACAGTAGAATAAGCTTCTAATTAAGTCACAGGTATGCCAGGTACTACTGTATGTCACTATCTGCTCTTGTGCCAGACCTCATAGCCTTTTAATTCAGTACATAGTTTAGACTTCAATGTAAGGAATGTAAGAAACCACCTCTGTGTAGCAACAATGACTTGTAAAAGTCATCAGTTGTTTTACTGCGTACACTTCAAGCAAAAGATTGTAAACCTGGCCTCAGTGTTCTTCCCACACATTCTTCTTGTAAGCTGAGATACTATTGCAGTCTTCTTTAGGCCTGTTGGAAACCACCATCCTGAAAACATTGTATACGTTCTCTGTCAAGAACTGGACGTTTATGACATTTCTTGGTCAGTGGTCATATCTTGCTTTGGCAAATGGTATGTAGCACCTTCTTCTAGTCTGTCTAGCTGTTGTGTAAATGTGATTTAAAGGATTTAGACAATATTTACTATAAGAATACTCAGTTACTCGGTTCCCCACTTCATCAGTTTCATGATGTTGTTTCTGTACCGTCCTTCCTGTGAATTGTGTCCGTTCCCTGTTGCAGCATGCACAGAGGTAACTGTCATACCAGAGTGCAGAAGAACCTCTCACCCTGTACGTACCCCTGTCCCTTCCTGGTCAGTCTACTTGACCACATGTCACAGGTTTGCCACGACGGTCAACATTTCCTGACTGAAAATCAGAACGTTTTGTTTTTCGGAGATTTAAATGACCCCTTTTATCCTTCTCTGTCTGTGTTTTTCCTCAGTACATTTTGTTTTCTATGTTTCAGTTGTTCTGTTCAAAGCAGAATAAGGCAGAGAAGGGGTGTGATTTAAATAGAGAGTTTTATTGTGTTAACTTATCTGGCTGAGGAAAACATCCTAAATAATAATTCTTATTAAGGGAATAGTAAAAATGTGATTGAGCCCTTCTGAAAGCTAAAGAAACGACATTTACATTTATTTTATAGTAAAATATAGTCCAATACATATTTTATTTCTTACAAAACAGACACCCTGATATTTAATTGTTAACAATATCCATTGCTCTACCAGGAATAGAATCATTTCAGCATAGAAGTGTGGAAGTGTCTGGCTTAAAACATGGAAGTGAAATTAGTCACATTTTCAAAACAACATTCATTTAATTTCATTCTTAGTATGAAAACATTTTGTATTCATTTTTAACAGTGAAAATGCATGGCCATACTTTGTGTCAGAAAGTTGGATTTCCTTCACAGTAAGTTAAAATAATATAATTGCTATTATTTTCCCTCAGAATTCTGCCCACTTGGAGAGCTGACGCTGAATTTTAAAAATGAGCAAACACCAATTTTCAATTGCATGTTTTCGGAAAGTATATTAAAATGAAAAATAATACAGATCATGTAATACGTATTAAAATATATATTATAAATTATTTAAATACAATTTAATTACAATGCATTGAACCAGGAAAACTCTCCATGTCACATAACAAAAAGCAGAACTCAAAGGTGAGCAATGAATTCCTGCATAAACAGAGACTTAAAGTAATATAAGCTTTAGTCTGAATTAGTGCATCATTTTGCATTTCCACAGTTATCACAATGAATGCATGACACATTTAAGAATATACATCAACCCTTGTTGTTTCTGGAGGGGGTATTAACTCTATTATGAAGCCAGAAATTGTTTAACTGGGGACTGCAACTTCCGAGAATTGAGTGCTCTGTGATGGTCTGGACTGCTTGGAGAGAGAGCTTTGGCTTAACCTCCTTGGTTCATGAGCAATCTCCTAGCCAGAGGACCAGGAGGCCTGAATCCCATTCAGAAGGACTCAGCCAAGGGATAGCTGCAAGGTGGAGATAGGATGGAGAAGGGATGCTTGAGGTGAATCCTCAAGGCCAAGAGCTGTGTTTGTGTTGGATATACAGTATAGAGCTCATTTCCGTGATGATGGCGATTAGGTCCAGCTGTGTGAGACTGACCTGTCATTGTTATCCCTCCCAGACTGCAGTTAATAACCTCCGTATAAAAGAACAAGGTAAGGGGAAAGTGGCATACAGTATTTCCTTTAGGTCAAACATCATTTCAAAAGAGATGTGGAACAAGCCAGGAGGAAGGATAGGGATAGGATAAGGGGCAGAAAGAGGCTGGGGTCTGTGGGGGGTCAAAACCGGATATGAATCGGCAATGTCAGACCAGATGAAGTTTATAAAATGCGACCCGTATTCTGACTAATGAGATTTGCCTAATCAAATCAGGTCATGTGTCATTATGCACAGAGTTACCTCAATGTTCATGTGACCATTAAAAACAGCTACAGCCCTTGCCATTAGGGGAAATAAGAGCAGTTTTCCAAGACCATCGCTTTCTGGCCATGTTTATTTCTGAGGAGTGGTGTGGGTCAACTCTGGATCATTTTTTAAAAAGCTGTATGTAGAATTTGTTCTCACCTTCAGTGCTCCGAAAAGAGTTCTGTAATATGTAACCTACATAAAATCAAATGATATGTTAAGATAGAATCAGGCAAGGAAAAGGGTTCAGAATAAGAGTTCCATTTACAGTATGATCCAAAGTTTTGATCCATGGATCCAAGTGCATGAGACATTTTCATTTTAAACACATTGTCTGGAGAAAGGAACTATACCAGTGCTTCTTTTCTTAGCTCTGTTTCGTTCTGCTGGTAGGTTACTGAATTTCTGAGACTGACAGTTGATTTTTAAGTGTGGATGTTTGTCTTGATTTGTTGTTTTTTTTTTTCTTATGAGCATAGTGGACCTCTGCATAATGACACAAAGTGAGACAAAAGTAATGTTCATCTCAATGATGTTATTGAAAACACAGTTCAGAATCATCTTGAAGAAAAAAGCTACTCCACTGATAATTTCATAAAGAGCTATCAATCGTGTAATAGTCACTGTACACTTTCAACACCCACCTGTTCATTTTCCTTTTCTCTTCAGTTTGTTGAAAACACATTTTTATAACTCACCCATAACATTTTCACTGTGTTTCTGCACCGTTGAAAAGCCATTTTTCCTTTAGTAATTTATTTGTGGTCTTTTCTGTGTTTAACTCTAGAGCTCTACAGATATCATTTTGGCAAAGGAATTATTTGCCTGTTGATGAATAATGTCTAGTTTTTATTTTACATGTTATCAGACTCCAAGGAACTACATTCACTTGAATGTCTTAGCAGGGTTAAAATCCAAATTAACTGTACAGTTTTGGGTTTTTTTTTTTGGTCATTTTCAAGTACTGCATTAATTGTTCACCATATGTTGGATAGAAAAATATTTTAAACTTGCTGTTTACGAACACTTGCAGATTTGCCATTTGTAAAATTTTAATGTTTCTGTAATGAATGTGAATGGGTTTCTGAAATTATAAAACACATTTGAATGTACTGTGCCTGCATTTCTGCTATATGTGCCAACAATGCTCCTGTGTAGGACGTTGTTCCAAATAAAATCATATTCTGCCATATTTCTCAGGCTCCTTTGTGTCTTCTTTACAGATTCAGTGTACAGCTGAAGAATTCCAGTTTGGATGTATAAGCACAGAATACAAAAATGTCGTTTTTCGTGCCTGAAGAAAAATGATCTGTGCTTACTAAGAAAAGCGATGGTCCAGTGACAGAACTCTTTTTTTAGCCTCTTCAATATAATTCAGGACACACTTCAATGCATCACTAAATGATTCATTTCAGCTCAGTCCGTTGCATGCAATATAGGTTTTGCTTAAGGTGCAAGTAACCAAACCCAGTGGATGAAGAAGGGAAATTCAAGTACAAGACCCTCACATTAACAAGGTCTTGTACTTGATTTTCCCCCCTCCTGTTGCCCAGCCAACACATGGCAAAGGTCTCTGATTAATGGCAGCTGCCATCTCCCTTCCCAATGGTCAAGCACGCTGGCAACACAGAGGACAGCGACACCTGAAGATGTAAGGATTATGGCCCAAGGATGCAGTCTTCTTCCCTGATCTGAAACTGTAATTTCAAAACCAGTGTCCCACTGTAGTGAGAAGAGACAATGTCCTTCACACAAGACTTTTCACCAAGGCTCTGATGCCTTAGACGCTAAAGATCCCACTGCACTGTTTAAAAGAGTGGGTAGGTATTGTTAACCCTGGTGTCCTGGCTAAATCTAACTCTTGGTTTGAAGAATCCGGCTTACCTAAACCTCTCACTTAATTCAATCGGTGAAGCAATTTGTCCTTCCTCCACCCAGAGGTTCTTCTGCACCGATCCTCGGTGTTGTAAGTTGCTGACACATGATGACTTCTGTGCGTCACCTGCACATGAATGGTGAAAGAAGTTGGACCCCTCTTGCGAGTACAGCTATTAAAGATTCCTATAATTATTATTAGCATAAATTCTAAAAATTCTTCACCTTCATGTTGCCCTCCTTAGATGCTGAAGAAGAGGACGATGTAACTTCTGTCTGTGTCATCTGGAAACCCTTGATGACCCTTGATGTAATCTACTGTATGTTGCCGTTTAGACACTACACAGGAGTATGAGCGCTGTATATTCCAAAGGCTTCAGGAGAAGAAAAGTACAATATGATGATATCATGTATCAGGTGAAATCTTGTTTTTATGCAACCACTTGCTGTGAAATGCTTTCCCAAGATGAGCAATTTATTATTTCACATACAAAATGCTTGTCAACATTTTAAAAATCAGGGAGGACTGAGTGGAACTGAGATACATGTAAAAATGTATCAGTTCAAATGACTTTAATATTAAAATCACTTGAATGTAATGATTATATTAATTTTTGTTAAACATTAATTTAGAAAAATACAGAATTGTTGCCAAAGTAACATGTATGGTCTGCTAAATGCACCATAGTCATAACTGCATGCAATTTCTTTTTAGAAATTCTCATTAACCACAATTTGCAAATAGGGTTGGTAGAATCTTGTAACATCATGCTTAATCATGAACCCACATAATTGTCCCATCTGTTTCTGGTAATTCCAAGCATCACTTTAACGGTGGTTGGCTTTGTGCAACCATGGCCAGACACTGAAGTGTCTCAGTTTCTGCATCCAAAATGCATAGAACCACCAAAAAAACATCATGGAGGAATATAAACCCCATGTCAAGTCATAGAAGTGGGTGTAGCTACATGTTGAATATTCCGGAGTGCAGCGTAAGCACTCATTCTCTGTTAAAGACAGTGTTTAGTTGCATGAAAGGTATGATTAATGAAGCTGCCATTGCCAAATAACTCTGCACTTGCGGTGCACTGGCACGTACTGTGAACAACCTCATCCATGGGAAGCTGTGGAGTGAGCACTGGCTACTGCAGTAAGTCGAGGCCGCTCAAATGGGGAAGCCTCTGCCGCAGATGAATGATTGCCAAGCAGAAAGCGAGCCGTTCCTTCAGTGCCCCGCTGACAGCACCCACGAACGCGTGTGGAACTGCAGGCGGGAGCTGCCCCCCCCCACTCGGTGAGTACCACCCCTCTGGCTGCTCTAAGAAACACCTGCCAAGCGAAACAAACTGCAAGTGGCGCCGTCTTCGTTCCAGACGTTTGACACAGCTCTCTGCACAGACAGATTCGGTATGTTCAGTGTGGCGGTGTCCTGGTAGGACACTTGCCTTAACAGCTTTGGAAACAGCTACCCTGCCCTTATGATTTTCTACACCGGTTGACATGTATGAATAAATGCCTTACCACAGGAGCACTTGATATCTTACTTTTTTCAACATCCTTGCACATTAACAGTGTTCTATTTCTAACCTTAATTTAACATAATGTTCATTGGTCCATTCTTTTTATTTAATAAATATCATCAAGATATAGGCTAGTAGAAATTGTGCTATACTTAGCAATGATATATCACTGAACACTGATTCAATCCAGGAGACAGCTGCAAAGATTTCATATGAATTAAGATGGAGTTCTTAGTATTAATGCCTGCAACTCTACAGAAGGCTCTTGTTTTAAATGTGTATATATATATATTTAATGTCGATACCTGCTTAGATGAATCGGTGTTCAGTAAGTTATGAAAAGATTGATGTATAGCTGAATAATAATTGTTTGGCTAAATTAAATTAATGAATGCATAGGTAAAAAGGCATACAGTAATATAAGAAGAAAATAAATGCTGCTTTTCACTTCTTAAAAATTTCCTTGGATTACTCTCTTATGTCAATGCATTATTAATTTCTTCCTTTGGCCATTCCACTGGACATTACAGCATGATTAATGAAAATGACCTTCAAATTATGTAGTTTGTTTGGGACATATTTTGACAACGTTTGCTGTTTTAGTCTCTATGAATTACGGGATTCAGACAGCACTAAACTGAAACTATATGTAAAATTCTCTAAGAGGTACTTAAGGCAAGTCAATACACTGCCATTAACCAGCTACAATGGTAACTGTAAGTACCGAAGACTTTCAGAATTTCTTTCAAGGGGATTTGCAACTGTATTTAAAAGCGAAATGGTCTTCTAGCAATATCTAAAACAACAACAATAATAATGATAATTTATCTTTAATTTCTCCATCGGGATTAAATGCTCCAGAACTGAAAAATAAAAAATAATTATCTCATTTTTTGCTTTTGTAAGTAAATTGCTTTATTACTTAATTGCTATCTGATTGTACCGCAAAGAAGCTTCGTCATACACACAGAAAGTAGATAAATAATGCAAAAGAAAATTAGATTAGGAATTCACTGTTACATTGTGAGGTTTAAATTGTTTAACAATTATGATTATCTTTTAATTATTTTTATCTTCTTCCGGATTCATTTGAATATTATTTTTGTATTATGTGATTAAAAGCAAAAAAAAAAGTCTGCTATCATTCAACCACAACCAAAAACAGCCCTTATGCAAAAACTAAGACTTCTGTTGAAATGAAACATTTGGTATAACAGTGTTCTATATATAAATTAAATTTAGGTTTGGATTTTCAGTTTGCATTCTTTAATATCAGTATAGAATAATAATAATAATCTTCAGGAGGTTAAAACAGATCTTGGAGGTAATTCTGCTAGCAGTTTGTTGTGCTTCATTAATTTTAATTTTTGTATTAAACAAAAAATGCATGTGCCATCGGACAGTGGTCAGTCACCGATACAAATACATTTTATGTGCCTTGGGTCATGATCTCCTACTATCAAAGTCTCCCCTCAACAGGACAGTGACTAAGTCCACAGCGAGCCTCTGAATGGATCGCTATTTAAATGCTTTTCAGAAGTTTTTGCGAGTTTTCATGGATCAAAGGTCATTCCAAGGAGTCGCATTATGCAGCAGGCTGCAGCAGAACATTGGACCATTGTAATGTTATGACTACTGAATCATTCTCACATAAATGGGGGAGGAGCTCTGGCCACAGGGAGATGACAGAATGAGTGACACAAACATGGGTGCCTTTTGAAAGATTAAAAGGAAGCACGCGCCTAAAAGCAACACATTTCACAACTCACTGGGCCTCATAATTCTTTGTTCACATTATTTTTATGTGCCTTACTGGAGGTCGTGATTTAAACAGACCTTCTTCTGTGTTGATCTCAGATGTTACCATGGTGAGTACAAGACTTACACAGCTACTGTAGCAACAACGTAGAGTTTTCAAAAGACAGACAAGATGTTATTATTTTAGAAGCCTGCAAAAAATCACCTGCCCAACACGATAAATTAAAAGTGATAACATTACTCACCACATCAAATATTTGAACAAGTGAAGGAAATAAAAAATTAGGACTGCATATTTAGTTTCTTTTTATTCGTTTTGGAAAAATGAAAATCGTTTACAGTAATGTTGTCCCTTTGGAGTTTGTGTCATTTAAGAAAAGGCTACTGATTATAACACCACAAAGCGTATTTTTTATGGATATGTAATGCACATCTGTGAACTTCATCCTTTTCACAAGATGTGAAAGATGTTTTCTTCTTAGCCAATTAAGAGCAACAGTAATTCTCATGTGCAATGATGACCTGGGGAACTGTTTTTACAACAAAATAGAAAAAAATGTCACTGACCCTTTTAAAAGTGTGAAAAAATACAGCACCATAGCAGAGCTACAGTATGGTTCATTTTATTGCAAGTTTATATAAAGAGCCAGGATAAATATAAGATACATATTTTGGATAGCTGCCGTATGTTTGGTTATTGATCAAGGGATTGATTGAAGGCTTTCCACAAAGAATACAAGGATCACAAGGATATATTTCAGTGCCCATGTAACACCAACAGTGTTTGAGGCACAGGGTAAAACAAACGCAGAACACAGGATAAAACAAGGTAAAACAGCTGGGAGCGAACAAACTACAGCATCCATTTTGTGCATGGCACTGCAGATAACGCCCTACTGACTACCATTTTCTGTAAACAGATCTTTAAAACAGATGCTAAATAGCCACAACATCGTTCTTTGATAACATAACACATATTAAATGGTTACTACTGCAGTCTGTAAGCATCACCTCAGCCAACTGTCTTGCCAAAAACTTC